TTTTTTTTTTTTTCTTTTTCTTTTTTTATTATTATTTTTATACTAGCCATACAATTTATATGGACCTGTTCGTGTCGTTCTCAGAGTTTTTGTGGACATGTGTTTTTTTTTTTTTTTATATATATATTTAACAAATCTTGCTTCGTTTTATTATTATTATTATTATTATTATTATTATTATCTTTCTTAGTCTTATATTATTTTTTTTTTCTTTTGTATCTTTCCCTCCTATTCTCCTTATTGTTTGTGTTGAAAGATGCGCTCCAAGAAAGTGATTTTTTCCCCCTTTTTTTGTTCTTCATGTGGATAAACTTTAATTCATGGAGTTTTTTATTATCTTTCTTCCTATATATATATATGTGTTTATATTATATTTGTGTGAATGGTGTTTGTTGGGAATAGTCGTAGTCTTCCCTTTCTCTTGTTCTTTTTTCTTTTTGATTCTTCTCTTCTTTTTTTTTTTTTCTTTCTTCGTTTAAGAGAAGGAAATCAAATTAAATACATACATAGATAGATACAAAAAGTATATATAGTGTGTAGTTTCTAATAGTCTCTCCTTTTTATTGTACAGGACAGGAAAAGAAAGAGGACTGTTGAATTTCCTCGTGTTTACTCTTTATATTCCTCACATTATAGTACAACAGAGAAGAGGAAAAAAAAAAAGAGAAGAGAAATCACAGAATAATAATAATAAAAGAAAAAAAAAACCACATTTATCGTGTTAACACTCACAAAGTAAAAGAAAAAAAAAGAAGGAAAGGAAGACAGAGATATATCGATAGAGTTTCTCTTTATCTCTTCTATATATCTATCTCTCTACCTATCTATCTATATATATATATATATATATATAGATTTCAAAAGGACCCCTACTATCACTATTACAGAGAGTATTGTATATGTTAGGAGGATCATCACAGTGTAGTGCCATTCCACCGCATCCGTACGGTGGTGATGTGAGACGGTCAATTCCATTAATGGAAACAACAACAAAAAGAACTCCACGATTTCTCTCAACGGCATATAATTTTTCTACAAGTAAGTCTGAGGAAGTATGTAGACCAATAGAGAAGAATACTACTACTACTACTACTACTACTACTACTACTACTACTACTGTTGAAGATAATACGTGCAGATGTTACTCCTCACAAGAACACCCATGGTGGCGTTGTAGTAATAATAATGGTAATTACTGGAGTGGGATATCTTTACAAAAAGATACTATTCTTACTTCGTCCATACCGCTTACGACAACCTCATCGCTTTTACCGAATAGTTTTAGAAGTGTATGTAAACCCCAAACATGCGTAAATGATAATGATGATCTTTTTCTTGATGATAGAGGCTATTATGATTCTTATAGTGATCCATGCCGTACGGAGAGACGTACGTTCTGGCCGACACGTAGTTATATTGATAAGAAGAGGAATTTTCTCTCTTCAGATGCCACTGTGGCTGAAACATGTGGAGTAGCAGAGAAGAACGGATCTTCTCCAGCGTGGTATGAATTGGAATGTGCATCTATGCAGCCGCCGAGTATGGAGCAGCCGTATAATATTATAGAAACAACAAGAAGAGCAGATGAGCAAGTGAGGGAAATGACTGTATGGGATGTAGAAGAGAGAAGATCTACGGAGAATAAAGAGAATACCGATAGTGAAAAGAATACCGATAAGGGAGAAAATACCGATAGTGAAGAGAGTACAGATAGTAAAGAGAATAACGATAGTAAAGAGAATAGAGATAGTAAAGAATGTGTTGAAGTGGAGATGCATCGCAGTGTCACTTCCTCTTTGCATGGAAGTACAGAAACGAAATGTCCAACACCATCCGCACCGGCTTCTCCAATACAATTACCCACAACCATGTTAACATCCACACCCATGCCCATCATTGAAGTAGAAGCAGTGAGTACATTAGAAAAACGGGATTTAATTCAAACTCCACCCGCATCTTCTTCTTCCTTCTCTGGAGATTCCAGTGGAATCACACTTGAGCGGCTTATGCGGGCGGTGCGCTCTGCACGAGAACGGGCAAAACAACAACGGCAAGAAAAAAATCAACATTATTGAGAGCATTAACCAGAAAGAGAGAGAGAGGGAGAGAGAGAGAGAGAACTGTATTACTAATTTCGGGGTTCAACAGCGGTTTCATCGAGTAGTTGAGAAGATCTTTTGCATGGTGGTGAGGTGAAGGAGTACTACTGAGACCCTGAAATTGTCTGTATTTGAACTATTGATAATGGAAGAAGAAAGAACAAACAAAAGAAAAAGATGAGAACGAAAAGAAACGTTTACTTCTATGTTTTGCTTTTCCGTTATTATTCTTTTTTTCTTTTCTATTTTTCTTCTATTTTCATCATCATTCTTAATCCTTGATTGCTTACGTGTGTGTGTGTGTTGTTGTATACTTAATGTGGTTTTTCCTTTTTATTTCTTATTTATATTTTTGAGATTTCTTTCTTTTTTTTAAAAAAAAAAACTATCCGTCTCTCTATTCTTCTCTCTTTCTCTCTCTCTCTCTCTCTCTATATATATATATATATATATATATATATATCTGTCTCTATCTGAAGTACCACACTCTGTCTGTCTGTCTGCGAAGGAAATGCTCCAGCAGGAAGAACAACAGCAACAGGATCCACTCGCACCACCCGCGCAAGGTCTAAATCCCCATCAAGAGCGCCAGGCCCATCCCGCCGGGGCGACTCGCGTCGTGTTGGACGGATCTCACATCTTAACAGGCGGCGCTGACGGCGTCGTGGCGCTTTATCCGCTGCGGCGGTGGCCGGCGTGTGCGCAGCTGTGGGCGCGGCAGTGCCATGATGGGATGGTCACTTCATTGGTGCTGCACAGTGCGTTGGGCCTCGCGATCTCCTGCGGCCGCGACGGGCACGTCGTTTTGCACGAAAACATCCACGCGGAGTCCACCGCCCGTGTGATTTGCCGCGTGACGGGCGAAGTGCGATCGCTGTTGTTTGATGCCGAGCGGCGGCGTGTCTTTATTGCCGGGGATTCACTGCGTTGTCTGCAGATGTTGGCACGCGGCTGCGATGTGCAGACCATACCGCTGTGTGTGCCCCACCCCATTATCGCCTTGGGACTATCGCCGTGCGGGAATCTCTTGGCCATGGCTTCCGCCAGCGGGGCCGTTGGGGTAGTGGCAACCTGTCCAAATAATAATAATAATAATAATAATAATAATAATAATAATAATAATAATAATAATAATAATAATAATAATAATAATAATAATAATACACAAGAGGCAGGACAAGAAGCAAAAGATGAGGCTATGGAACGTTGGAAGAATGTCAAATTTACATTTCCCAATCTTCTCTCTCCAACCGCACGACGAGATGATACAGCGGCCTATCGTCTTTGTTGGTGCCGCACGCCCACTGGCGCATTATTTTTATTTGTACCTGGACTCACAGAGGCGCGGATATTAAAGTTTGAGGCCGCAACCACAACACCGTATATACATCGTATGCGTCATGTGAGTAGTATTGATAGTTTTGGCATGAAAGATCTTCTTAGTGTGGTCTGTTATCCACTCACTGCACATATGCTCTGTGTGGTACTCATCGCCACTTCTGGTGTGGTGGTGACAAAAGTGGATGATCGTAAGTGGAGTGTAACGCGACTGCAAGGACAAACATTTAATACGATAACAGATGCATATGTTGATATATCAACAGGGGATATTACGGTAGGTACACAGAATGGTGTGGTTTCATATTTACGCCGTGAAGCTCCTAAAGTAATGACAACAGTACGTAAATCAGGTGAGATAGATGAGAATGTTCCTCTCAACAATGGTAAGACTAACGGTAGTGGTAATAATACGATGGGAGTTATAGAGAGTCAAACGACAAATGGAGTGAAGAAAAAGATGAGACATGAGGTAGAAACTCATACGATTGATGATAGTGATAATAACAGTGATAACAGAAGTAAAGAAGACAAGAAAAACAAGAAGAAAAAGAAGAAGCAGAGGAGTGAAGAGGAGAATAATGATGATGATGATGATGATGATGACTCATCATCTTCATTATCAGCGTCCTACTCATCTGCTTCAGAAGTCAAGGAAGACCTGCGTCAGGTAGTAGATGACCTTAAACGCAATAATCCAGATTATAGAGATGATGAAGAAGATGAGGAACGACCATCACGATGGCGACAACAGGATCCAAAAGAAGTAGTACGTTTTGTAGAAAAAACACAACGTATTCAACGCTCTGTTTTTCTTGACGATGAAGCAGAAGAGTCATCTGATGAGGGTAGCAATGATGATGATGATGAAACCGCAGGTGTTGAAGAGGATAGTAATGGAAGTTATAAACACCATAGAGGAAGAGGAGGCAATTATAATCATAATAATGAAGAAGATGATGATGTTGCATCTGTGGCAGTTACAGATGCGGGAGCTTCGTTAACATCATCTCAACCTCTTTGTAATGGTGGTGTAGGGCGAGTAACAACCGCTGCGGTTGTGGATTACTCTTTTCAGATTGGAGCCACACCTGTAGGAGATGAGGGAAGTTGTTATTTGGCTTATAATTCTGTTGGTTACATTCACAGCACACCTGAAGGTACAACGATTCATTTTCATGATATGTCTTTACAATCTGTGCGAGTATTAGAGCGAGGAACTATTTTAATGGCCGCCTTAAGTCCTGTAGGAGCTGCTTTTGTACTTGGACAAGAATCTGAAATGGATAGTATTGACGATACCCCATCTCTCACACTTTACTACCGTACATTTGTAGCTATTGGAGCTCAATCTGAATGGCGTACGCGATTATATCCCGGTGAGTTGGTAAGATGCCTAACATGTGGAATTCGATATACAGCAGTGGCGACAAGTCGTTATCTTCGTATCTTTTCTCTTTCCGGTGTGGAATTAGCCGTGATAAGTCTCTTTCCCCGCATTGTCGCTATGGTGGGAACCAATAGCAGTAAGATTATGCATTCCTTTAAAGCAGATTTTGATCCACTAGCGATTTGTTATCTAAATAGTGGTGGAGAGTTAATGTTGCAAGTATTGGATGTGGGTTCCCGTGCGGTGGTGGTGCCTGCAGTGACAGTTCCTCTCACAACCCACGAAGATGGAGGAATTCATCATCAACAACAAAAACAACAACAACAAGAACATCAATTACAATGGATGGGATGGTCAGAAGATGGTCCATTGCATGTTGCCGATACTGCTGGAGTATTACGTATGTTTACACTAAACTGGGGTGGTAGTTGGGTCCCTGTGTTTGATCCACGCACACTTACAGATCAAACCTATAATTTATGGATTTGGGGAGTAAATGATGAGACACTTCTCGCCTATCGCTCTAGTAAGAATGACCCGCCCTATCCCGCTGCTGTTGCCAGTGCTCTCCCAACAGAACATGTACGTTTGTTTCTCCCACTCACCCGTAATGGAACAGAACGAGATATGATTACATGGGATCATTTATTGCGACGAGAAGTACGCACAGATGAGTTAAAGCGGCGTAGTACATATTATACACCTGTTATTGCTAAACATGATGCCTTACATGATAAAAAAATTATGGAGTTATTCCGTAATGCATTGAAAGAGCAACAAACCACACGGGCTCTTGATCTCGCTACTTATCTTGAATTACGTGATAATATTGAGGTTTGTGCTAAAGAGGCTAACGCACAGGGACACAGACAACTTGTACAAAAATTACTTTCACTGTTAGAAGTACGTGTAAAGGCAAAGAAGAAGCGTCGTTGTCCTCTTCCTCTTGAAGGCACCATCGTTAGTGAACGGGAACGGGATTTACTCCTGCGAAAACTCTTAACAAAGGAAAAGAATATATCAACCACCACTACTCCATCCAACGATAGTAATAACAATAATAATAGTAATATGAACACTAATCCTAATGGTGATGATTTGGCTTCTGGAAGGAATAGTGAGAGTACTGGAACTGTTCATATACAATCTACACTAAAAGAAAAAGAGAATATGACTGCTGCTGCTGCTCCAGCTCCAGCAACAACAAAGAAGGATGCCGATATTGTCGTGCCATCAGTCTCTACTGCAGATATCACAAAACCAGGAACAACAACAACAACAACGAAAATTCCAGCCGTTGCAAGTCCATCAAGACGACACATTACATTTACAGATCAGCAGGAGACCACTCCAATGAAGGGAACTGCGGAAGTTGCCATCACACCCACAAGAAGCAGTGGTGGAGGGAGTAGCAGCTACTGTAGCACCAATTGTGTTAGCCCAACTCCCTCTGGAAAACCACTCAATCCATTTAAAAAGGCTGTTGCCAATGAAAGGGGAAGTTTAAGTCCAACTCCACAAGAGAAACCACAGAATCCATTTAACAGATCTGCGAAAACGACTATGATGACACTAAACAATACAACACCGCGACAAGCTACAAGCAGAAGTTTATCCAATTCCTTTGTCTTGGGTGATTCCCAGTCTTCCATGGTGGTAGATGTGGATGATGTTGGACCCTCATCTTTACCAAAACAACAACAACAACAACAACAACAACAACAAGAGAAAACACAGGAATCTATGTTAAGTCCTTCTAAACGTCTTGTTAACATTAAAGCAGTTTCACCGGAAGCTGAATCTGTTTGCGTTAAACGAGTCTCACCGCCTGTTCTCGTATCGGTGGAGTCTCCACGCCGAATTGTACCTCCTTCACGAACTCCAACACCTCCGCCTACTCCAACCGTGAAACGTTTTTGGCCAAAAGCTCAACCAGTAGTACCAGTCGAAACGATTACAGCGGAAGAATCATCCATAGCGGTGGATCCCTTTGTGGATCATCAGGAAAATAACGGTGATGCTGCGCCAGTTTCTTTGGACTCACTCTTGTTATTAGATGTTGGACACGAGACATCACAGACAGGTATACCGCGAAGTGCCTCCTTTGGTGAAGCCCTACGTAAACGTTACCGTGAAGAAGAAGAAGAGGATGAAGATGAGAACGGCACTGGAGATGGTAATAATGATGGAAATGAGAATGTGTCACGTAAGTTGTTAATTCCAAAGATTGCATTTTAGGAGGCTAAATGATAATAATAATGAGAAGAAGAAGAAGAAGAAAAAACAAAAGTAATAAAAATAAACAAACAAAGGGAATAATACATGATAAACAAACCAATAACTTGAGAGAATGAAAAGTAGCTAAAAGGTTAAATGAAAAAAAGAAAAAGAAAAAAAATAAAATAAAAATAGCACAGAGTACTTTGTTTTAGTCACATCAATCGCAAACAGTGATGATGTTAATAGAAGCAGTAGCAGTGAGAAGAATAAAGGAGATCAAAAAAAAAAAAAAAAAA